AAAAATTGTGTGGCAGCAGCAGCAGGCGCCACTGCAGCCAATCGAGTTGCCGCTGCATTTGGCTTCTCCATTTTTTGTTGTTTTTTTTTTTTTTTGCGTCCCTCTATTGTTGTCTTTGTTGTTCTGGTTGTTTTTGCTTGTGTTTCGTGGCCATGAATATTTAATGAAATTAGCTCAAGATACTTGCAACGCGCTGCGGCTGTGTCGTATATGTGTGCATCCAACAGCACCCAACCAACGTCTGAGTCACGTCTTTGGCTTTGCCTGCGACACGTCTTTACCTTCCGGAATTTTAAATTAAAAATTGTTGCAACACAAAATGCGCGTTCCTAACTAATTGCCTGCATTTAGCCCAAAAAAATTATTTTGTTTGGAGAGTACTGAAGGATGAGCAGACTTAAGAGCACATTACTTAAGCTGCACTTGAGAGAGAGAGAGAGAACAGATTTGAGATGATAAATGATTTTATATCAAATATGTATATAAATAATATATAAAAAAATATGTATATACATAATCATATAAGTATATAGCGCATACATACACTTAAACTTATCTATTTCAGTGAAGTTGTCTAGTCGGAAATGCCCGACTAAGAGATACCCGGAACCCTGCGAAGTGCTACTATGCCTATGATTCTAAGCTTTCTATACACATACAAAACAAGCTTTTAGATAGGAAATTAGAATGAGTTATTGGAAAAAAATGATTAACTCTTACTACGTGTGCTGTAAAGGTATTCTATATAGCTATAAAAGTATTTTTTTAATTTTAATTTTTCTAAATTTTCAGTGTTGGCTTAGCTAAATTCTTCGCTTAAACAAATTATATATATATTCATAAAAATTTCAGAATTAATTAAATGAAGTGCTGAAAATTATAGCAAATATTTTATAAATATTATTTATAGCATTTGTATTTGTCGAGTGCACACGAGTGCATCCTCTAGATACGCGCAGCGTTACTCCTGTATTTACTATATGTTTTTATAGATATTCCACTGAAGCGTAATGTTTATCGATAAATATGCATGAGAGCGAGAGAGAAAAAACGGTAATAAATAAATGGACTCTCGATTGACAGCGAGGTGAAGGGGCAGGGGGCACGTGGAAGGTGGCATGTTCTGCAGAGGTGTTGCCATTGCCATGAAATACGCAACACGAATTCTGCGTTCAGTCAATACGGAATATTCGAAAGGCTCGCGGCAATATAAATCATAAATGGTCAGCGAACAGCAGCACGCGGGCTGGGCGGCAGGGGGACAGTTGGTTGGATGTGGCAAATATCAACATGACCAAGGGCCAAAAAGATTCGCAGTTGAAACAGATGCCGAACCTAAAAGTATGCAACGTTTGATATATGGCAAATATACGTGAAACGGCGGCTGCAGCCACACATAAAATTTCCAAACCAAAACTTAAATTTTAAAGAGTTTTTCGTATATTTTGAGGTGTGCTTAAACATAAGAACTCTTACATATAGATACCATATAATCATCTTTAGTTAAGCATTCCTAGCATGATTTTAAAACTGAAATGTTACAATTATTGATATAGCAGCTCTGAGCAGTTGCCAGGGTATTCCCTAGGCAAGTACTCCTGGATAGAGCACTCTTAGTGCTACCTGTTTACTTTGTACGTTTCTTTGACAGGTATTTGAATTAGGTATATAAATGATCAAATTCTTAAAAGAATCGTTTATCATCTTACATTCAAGTTTCTAACTTCACTTTTTTCTTTCTAAAAAGTTCTTTTGTCTCAGCATTATTTACGCGCTGACTTACTTTATAAACATTAATAGCAATTGATAAATTATATTTACACAAAATTGTTTTTTGTTGTTCTTCCAACGGAGCCAAGTAGCTTGTCGCCAATGAAAAATGCGGCAAGTTGTATGCCTTGTTATTATCCTTGCAGCAGCAACAGCGGCAGCAGCAGCTCCTGCTGTTGACACACAAAAAAGCCACAGCCGACAATTGTATAGCAGGCGAATATGCTAGAACTGGGGGCTTCTACGAAGGCTGAGTGGGCAGCGAATGGGCGTGGCAAGGCATAGTTGCAACGACAAGGAGGCCACTGTGGATGATGTTGATGATTATGAGGCTTGTCGCGGAAGGGCGCACAATAAAAGTGCAGCGTCATTGAGTAGAGCTTTACTTATTCTTTCGTATACCCTTTAAAAATGTGAAATGTGGCATGTGGCATGTGGCAAGACAGAAGCTTGATAAACTGTTACTTTTGAGTAACTAAAAAAAACTCTTTCAAAATGAACACGATCTAATTTCTCATATAAATTAAAGCAAGTATCGATAAGTTATCGATAACTAATTAACGTTTATTAACATAATAATCTAAATAGCAAGAAAAGCTTAGCAGACGTTTTGGTTCAGATATTAATTATACTTAGCCTATTGGAATTATTGATATATATATATATATATTGATATATATATATATATATATATATATATATATATATATATATATATATATATATATATATATATATATATATATTTATTTATTTATTTATTTATCGATAGGTGTTAAAGTCGATGTATCAATATAGTTTAATTTTCTTTGAAATAAATAATCGTTTATCGCTCATTATCGGTATTATTACAATCGATTTTATACACATCTGGGTCTCTCTGCAGTATAAGATAGACAATAGGATTTTTATAACTTCAACGTTTCTAAATATAATCGCCTTCGCGATTCAAGGACAAGCCACGCCTTGCCTTGCCCCGCCTTAGAGCTCATATCAAATAGATATATATATGGCTAATAATATGGAAACTTATTTGCTTTTGTTATAGAGCAAGCTGTTAGGCCCATAGAGTCTGGTCTAGGCCATGGTTTTGATTGTGCACTTGCCGCCAGCTGTTCGCTCCATATTTTTTACTCTGTGAAAATCAGAATTTTTATGCGCTGCATCATAAAGGCGAAAGACAGCGGGCGCCAAGTGCAAAGAAAATAAAATGACAAAAAAAAAATACAAAAAGCCTGTGGGCGTGGCACATAAAAACAAAAACAAAACAACTTGGCTTCAAGATAAGAACTTTATATGGCAGCGACAAGTGACGTGAAAAAAAGTAATTTATCTGGCAAGAATATAAGAGAAATTACAGGCACGCGACTCTCAAACGTTGGCCTCAAACACCCACCCACACACACTCACTCACTCGTGCCATAAAAAATGCATGAACAAATTCTTTGGGGCATGTGAACAGAAAAATGTTGCTCATTTTTGGGTGAAACGTGGAAAACGGAGAATGATTTCAAGCACTTGAAATTGGAGTTTTATTTTGGGCCTTGATTGGAGCGTTCGCTGAATTTCGAACTTCCGTGTTTGCCCTTTTATGGCCGGAAATCTCATTTACTTGCGGTTTAAGCAAATAGCAAAGGCTTTCCAGTTTATTAGACTTTTCATTAGCCAAAGTGCCAGGTAAATGAACCCAAAAAAACAGCTCGAATAGAATAGAGAAATGTCATTAATAACGCGAATGATAAATGGTATATATATTAATAACTCCATGGAGTGGACATACCTCAAAGTTGACATAAGATAGGAAACAAATGTTCTGAATGCAATCCATACTTGTTATATATTGTGTATATACTGAGCGAGTCTGAGCGATTAGTTTGCATAGAAACTGAAACACAGACATTTGCTCAATTTACTCAGCTGTTTAAATTGATCACTAATACATATATCATATTATTTATTTCTTCGTATCAAGACTAAAGTATTAAAAATATGTTTCTGTTTCTCTGCTCTCTGAATAAATATAGATAATAGCAGCAGGCCTGTTGAGTGTAACCGACTGCTTAGTACTCGTTTAGTATTGCCGGAAACAATAAGATTTATACCGATTTTGATTTCTTCTTCTTCTTTGATGCTACCCATGTACCTTATGTGGGCATCTGTAGCTGTAGTCCTAATTTGGTGATTGTAACTATAGCACTGATCATGGTATACAAAGTTCTTTTTCTCATATTTGTATATATATCATGTTTAGTACGTTTATAGAGGGGTTTACTGTCAAGTTTACCTGTCATACTTTATGTTTCTATTGTGAAATATATAGCTTTTTTCTACTTTTAATTTGCCACACGGCTAAAGGTTTAGCTTTTTAACCTGCATATTTTTCTGAGTAGTTGGTCTGTATGAATTTATATATATATATGTATATGTAAATATAAGAATATATTATAGGTTTTCCTAATTTTCCACGCCTTCAAAGAGCAATAGTTTATCAGATGAGTCTAAACAAGAGAACATATTAGAATTAAAATTTATATTTTTTTAACATTTTATTTGCACTTTAAATAATATCTATGCATTTATCAATAACAACAATAATATGTTAAGCACATAAATAATCACCCAAACAAATAGTTCTAATTTTGCAAAGCTCAAATCCCGTTGGGATTTGGGCCAAGCAGCAGCAGATGTATTATGCCCATCAGATGCCATCAAGACCAATTCCCGTTACAATCTTGCCGAACTTTCTTGCAATTTATGTGACTTTTTACACATCCACTCACACACATACGTTTACCCAACTCTGGCCCTCTTAACATTTGTTGCCAATTTTACACGCCATAAAAATCGCACCTTTCCCTTCTGGGGCTGCGAAATTTGGAAAAACCAAACTCAAGAAATCAATGTACACCCAACCAGCTAAACTACCATCCCCTGCAAAGCAGCGGCGGCAGCAGAAGCAGCCCCCAATTGGCAAAAACCACAAATATGCATAATTTATACAAACACAAGTGAAAATCAACTCCCACATACATTCACAGACACACGCACGCAATCAAATGAAATCCATATTGACAAAGCAGCTGTAAAGAGAGCGGCAGAAAGGGACAGTAAATGAAGCGCTATGCGCGAGAGGAGCACAGCATAGGCACAGCGGCAGGCCGTCTGCACATAAATAACTAAATAATTGTTTTAATAAAATTAAAAGCTCAGCTTTAGATTGCAGCGCTTACCTTAGACATAACGTTTTGCTGTGTTCTTGTTCACTAAACAAAATTTGTTGCTTTTTTACATAAAAAGAAAAGCCGTCGGCCTTTTGGGCAAAGACTAAAGCTTATGTGGTTGTTGCTAATGTTGCTGCGGTTGACGTGGGCTCGCTTTGAATTGCCTTTCCAGAAACTGCGTCGTTGTTGTTATTGCTGCTGCTGGGTTCGAGCTTGGCGCGCTCTGCTGCCAAAAGGTTGATAGTAAAAAAAAAGTAAACAGCAACAACAAAATACTAATAGCTGCACAACTTTGTTTTAGTTAATTATCAATAATTTGTGTGTTAAGTGGAGCGTTGTTTCTTTTTTTTGTATTTTTGCTTTTACTTCTTATTAATATGTTTACACACGCTAAAAGAATTCGCGCCGTTTCTTATGTCTCTTCTTTTTCACTTCTCCTAATTTGTAACGGTAAAATCCTAACAGCACACACTCACATACACAGGAACACAAGCACAGGAACGCGCACTCACACAAACTTGCGCCTGTAAATAGTTTAACATCAGTTAAATAACATCGGAGCTTACGCACAATTAATAATAATGTTATTTATTAAATTTATTTTATTTATTTTGCATTTAAATGTATTGATTTTTTTGGCGCGTTTATTTGTCTTATTTTTCAACCTGCAACGGTCTTCCACTTAGTGCTCGCGCCTGTACGTTGCGTCCGTACACCCTGCGAACAGAACGATTCACCGGAAACTGAGACTAGCAGCGCAGCAGTGTGACCCGAATGCCCAAAGAGCGTGTGCGGTATTTTTTCGGAAACAAGCAAATGTCTTAAATATACCGGCAAAAAAAATATCAAAAGGAGCTTAAAGTATCGTTCACAAAGCTATGGTGATATTTGTTCAAGACAAACACAAATGATTAAAAGCAAACAATATTTCTTAAATCATGCTTATAGTATACTCTAATTAAGCTCATGCTGGTTTATTGAATAGTTATTAATTTGTTATTCTTAGTAGATTGCATTCAAATATGCGCGCCTTAACTCCATTCATTTTTTATTTCTAGGGCTGGTAACACTGCATTTTGCCGTGCTTGGAACGAAATGCTTGCAGAACACTAAATACAAATAAATGCCTTCATTACAGTTGTTTATTCATATGTATTACAATTAAAGCCTTTTAATTAACTAAAATGTGTTTCGAAGCAGTGCTTGGTCAGTAGACCTCTAAGCAGCACCGTGATCTTAGCGAACTGGCACCCAACTTTCCAAAACTTCGCCGTACTTCTTACGATCTGGAAAGCCAAGTATGTATATAATATAAAATAATTTCCAATAAGTGTCGAAAGCTTAAGCAACAAAATGAATATCACCTGTCTTTGGAAAATCATCGGGATGCAGTTCAACGTAATGCCGGAGGACAGCATCGCGCTTAGCCAGATACTCGTTGCGTTTATTGTCCAGGAAATAGCCAGCTCCGCCGCCAATAAGTGTGAACAAAACATGATTTTGTACACCTGAGAACAAATAGTTATTATTTTAAACATAGAAAAACAATGTTACGTCACAGTGGTGCATCGCGAACTTACCAGAGAACACGGGCTTACGGAGGCCCCAGTTCATGAATAGCGCAGCGCCAAAGCCGGCCAATGCGCCGGCCATTGGATTCCATATTGGCGACAAAAATGTAGGCTGGCGTGTGCCTTTATTTGTCAATAATTCCAATGGATCGTAGACTGCCGATGCACCCATGTTGACAAATTCTTACAGCAAACAAAGTGTGACCAAATGGTGAAAACACAGAAATACCTGCTTCACGCTATATGACAGCTGTTTATCGAGTGTGCACTAAACACAGCACTTGAGCTATATCGATAAAAATGAACAGTGGAAATGAAATAAAGTGTGCCCAGAGCGAGCAAATTGGAATGTATCTGCTAATTTTGACTGCTTGTCGACTACACACATTACACATAGCTACATTCATAATTAAGGAAAGCTAGTGTGACCAGAACTAAAGCTAAATACTATAAGTAACATCTCAAATGTTCACTAAACACAGCTATGCTCAACTTATTGCACGACAAGCTAAGCGTTGCCAGATGTTGTCACATTCAAATGTTTTTTGTTGTCTTTATTTTACGTTAAGTTTTCAAAATTGTTTTACAATAGTTTTACATAAAACAACGCTGCACAAAGCTCGCAAAAGGCAATTCAAAACTGTGTAAGGCATTGTAACTGTAAACTTTAAGGCAACCTTTTACTTTTCTCTTGTATTAAATATTTTCAAGCTAAATGAAATTTAAATTTTCTTTTTTTGACATTGAACATTGAAAGCGCAAGTAAAACGTGTTTAGGCACAATTATTACATGTATATATACTAGTGTTTTTTTTCTCACGCATTTAAGCCATTAATGTACAGCTTATACAAATATATTATAGTTGGTTTTCAATATTATTTCTACAGGTAGTTAGAAGGCAAAACTGTTTCGTTTGTTTTATTTAAAAAAATTAAGACATTAAAGCTACTTATAAACAAAATGGGAGTTTTTCGGCACAAATTAAGAAAATCATTGTCGAGTTTTTTTCAAAAAACCAGCGAAAAAAAATTGTTTTTTTTTTTTTTGCAAATAAACTAAAATTATAAAAATGAAAGCAAAAAGTAAGCTAAACTAAGGCAAAAAATGTTTTACAATAAAATGTTTTCCCTTTTTTTTGTTTTTGTTTTCTTCCTTCAAATTGTACTTAAACATAAACAAGATCATCAATTAGTTAAGCGTAACTTTTGTGTTGTTTTTCTCTTTTTTTGTTGTTGTTTTGTTTTTAAGAAATGTATTGCATAAAAGTTGTTTAAAACTTGCCCTACATAAGTATTTTAATTATATATATAAATGTATATCTTTATATATTTATATATATATTTATATATATATATATATATATATATATATATTTATATATATATTTATATATATATATATATATATATATATATATATATATATATAGTTAGGTTTATTCTGTTTGCTTTGCTATTCTTTTAAAGCAATGACACATAAGTAGCACTTGAAATAGATTTGAACAACATTTGCCAATCGGGCATATATCATCATTATATAATAGTAAATAGTTTATATATATATATATATATGCATATATATATATATATATATATATATATATAGATCAAATTGTAGTTAGTTTTCTTGCTTGCTTTTAACATAGTTTTCAATTTGTTGCATAAGGAATGACATTCGCATAGAAAATCATATGTTTAAACTATAAAATAGATAAGTATGTGTAGTGGGCGAGAGGCGGGTTGAGTAGCTGTCTAATATATAACTAGTTATATATCATTCTTTATACATATATATAATATATATATATATATATATGTGTAAGGCATATATATACACACGCACACAATTGCAACACGTCTTTTACATAGTTCACTATGTGTGTGTGTGTGTGTGCGTGTGTCTTTCTGTGTCTGTATTTGTTGTTTCCTTTTCCCATCGTTTTCCTCTTTTTTTGTTTCATATAATTTCCCCGATTTTGTCTTTAGGATACGGAACTAATTGCATTATGCGGCGACCCCATCTGTGTGAGCACCTTGTCCAGCCACTGCAGCGGCCCATGCAAATGTATCTCGATCCAACAGGGCGTTGACGTGACATCCTGCCGATGGTATTCAGCGCCCCAGCCCTTCACGAACGACATGCGGATCGTGCACATTTTCGTCAGCTCGTAAACGGCCTCAAATCCATTGTTGACCGATTGCGATAGCAGTTGAGCAAATTCCTGATTGTTGAAGATCTTCAATGAACAACCTGGCGGTATTTTGCAAACGGTGCTCGGATGGAAGCCGTGATGATAGTTGCAGTTGCGCGACTGCACGAATATCGCTGAATCGGACAAGCATTCGGCATAGACCTCGCCGGTAACGTAGTACAGATGAACGCCTTTACCTATAAGCACAAAAGAAAGATAATTTAATATGGAAAAAAAAAGAAAATGTTAAATATATAATATATGTAAAGTAATTAAATTAAGTCTACATAAATTTAATATTTGTAAACTTTTAACTTAATTCAATGACTTTCCGCTTTCAACTAGAGTTGAAGCACAATTTCTCATGTCAAATTTGACAGCTACATAAATATGCCATTAAATTAACAGAAGCTTAGAAGGTTTAGCGTTGCCACATATAAGAAAGCTATTCACTTTTGACACAGTGTTGCCAGATTGTCAGGCATGCCTAACATTAGTTTAACATGAACTCTATCAAAACCCTTAACACTAGCTATAGACTTATGCCTAATATTATATTTATTTAGTTAATGTTAATGTTTACAAACTAAATAATAAATAATTAACATGACTATAACATGAATATTACCTAAGGCTTAAGCAAAAATCTTTAATATTCTATAAACTAGTCTTAAGCTTATAATAATGAGCATAAAATTCCATACTAAATTAACATGAACTTTGCCAGCAATATAAAGAAACGTATCTCGCTCTAGTTTAACTATTTTAACATGAACTTTGCTAACATAAGTTGAACATGAACTTTGCCAGGAGCATGAATTCAGCATTCTCTCTATTTTTTGTAACTACTTACCTATGTGACGGCGTGTGTTCTCTATGGTACTGTTGCGATTTACATTGCTCAGCTGGCCGAGGCAGCAGCGATCGGAGTTGTTTGATGGATTCGTAAAGCCATCGACAATGACCGAATTGTTATTGCAGTGGAACACCTCGCCGACACGGCAATTGAGCTCATAGTAGGCAATGGATGCCCAGAAGGCCGGCTCCGAGTAGCTAACCTGAGCCACATCGCCCATCTGGGCGTCGAGCATTTGTGTGCCATCGTTCGGATTGTTGGAGTTGCCATCCTCTGAGGGACTGTAAGCGGGCGGCGGTGTACCAGCCAAGCTATCGTACGGCGAATTCGGATTCGAGTTCACGGAACTGGGGCTGCCCACCGATGTGTTGCTGTTGCTGAGACTATGCGAATTGAAGCCACTGTTCGAGTAGCTGACATTGTGCGGCATACTCGGCTCGGCCATCTGATTGAACTGCAGCATCGAGTGGCCCGGCGCGAATTCCGAGTGACGCGGCACTAACACTGGTGGCAATACTGGACTCTCCACGCGCTTGTAGTGATACGGATTGATGCAGACCTCCTTCTGTTTGGCGCTGAACGGATATTGGCATAATTCGAGCGGTTTCAGTTCGTGATGCGACTGTAGATCCGGCCAGCGCCAGACGCGGCAATAAATCACATGCGGCAGACCTTTGCGATGAGATACCTGAGCGAGAGAAGATCGAGTTGAATGCTTAAGCTGGAGATTCGCAAAGGGCAATAATTTTACAGATACTATTTAATAGGTTAACTATATCTATATCTATATCTGCTACTCTATCTAAAGCTATTTTGTACTACCCACCTTTACTTACTACTATATCTATAACTACTACTGTCTATCTTTATATACTATTGCATATCTATAGCTACTAGTATATCTACTATTAACCTACATACTATAACTATATCTTTCTACTACATCTATAGCTACTACTACCTATTTATTGGTACTACTATATAGCTACTACTATATCTAAAACTACTTATTAATTCCTATACTAACTACTTATATTTACTACTAAGTCTACTACTAGCTATATCCACTTCGATATCTACAACTAATTTACCTACTACTATATTTTACTAGTTTATTTATATCTACTACTGCCTATCTATAGCTACTACTATTTCTACTACTACCTCTCTATAGCTACTACTATGTCTACTACTACACATATATAGTTACTACTACTACCTACACCTACTACTACTATTGCATATACTATCTGGACTATGTCAATCAATTTTCTACATTGTTGCCAATAGTTTCTATTCCTCTTAATTAATATTTTCTCAAAGTTGTATAGAATTCTAAAATTTATACATCTAATAATCTCAGTATGCTTTGTAAATATAAACCTTTCTCTCATTTACAATTTCTATATATTGTTGTACCTTCTGTGCAATTTGCTGTCAATATATACTGCCCAATACTTTGCCTTTTCATATAGAGATATTCCCGCTGTCATCCATTGTTATTGCTTTTATTTTATCCCTTCTATTTTACTCTTCTCTTATTACCAATTCAATTCAATTTAATTCAATTCCTTCATATTTTCATCTCCATATTGTCCTCCATTATCACTTTTTATGATACAATTATTTATAATATATATTTTACATATACATATAATTATATTTTACTCTAAGCTAAAGCTCACTTTACAACTACTCCCATCTAAATCAACCATTCAATAATTGAATGCTCTTAGAGATCCATTGAGCTGTTATTCATCGTCACTTTTTTGGCTGCTCAATTTCGTTTATTTATTTATACTTTACTTAAAACTTTATTCTTTATTCTGCCCTTTATTCAGCTCTATAGCGCTTGCCCCACTCTGTTCGTTCAGTTACCTGTAATCGTCCGTCTAGCGATCGTGGTATGGTCACACACTTGGATGGCTGACCGGGGCAGGATAGGGCACGTTCTAGTTCCTCGATGGCACCTTTGCGCTTCTTGAGCTTCTTAACCAAACTGTCGACGGCCTTCTCGGCCCATTTCTCCTCCTCGTCGCCCTGTTTCCAGCCCAGCAACTTTTTGACGGCCGGCGATTGGAATGAGAAGAGGGTGCCCAATGTGGTGATGGCGCTGCTCGTGTTCGACTCGACATCATCGGTGTCCATTCTGTGGATGTGGTGGTTGTTGCTGCTGCTGCTGCTGCTAACGCTGCTGCTGTTGATGTTGTTGTTGTTATTATTATTGTTGTTGTTGTTGCTACCACCACTAATGTTGTTGTTGTTGCTGCTGCTTTGGGGTGGAGTTACCCGATAACCGGTATAACTATCAACGGGCGGATAGTCTGTGAATAGACCAATGCAAATGCGTTAGATATACATATTGGATTTATATGCATACATCAATATCAATAAAAATAATATATATATATATATATAAATATAGATATATGTAAAGCCACGATTAGATTCGATTTAAGCAACGCCCACAACAGACTTGGCCATGTGCCCAGCTTCAAATGAAGTCGTCGTCTGATTGATTGAAAGGGGAAGCCAAAGGAGGGGTCTCAAATGGTTGTTGTTGTTGTTGTTGCAGCTGCTGCCAGGCACAAATCATGCTTGACTCCGCCCCCCTTTGGGCGCCGAGCTTTTTTGATCAAGGCCAGCGTCCATTGCATGCAAATCGTAAAATTCAATTTTTATTTCTATACTGAAAAGAATAATACTCTGGAGATATCAATCGGCAAATGCAAAACACACAAGTGTTTTAATAAGAATTCATTTTCTCATATGGCTCGGAAATTATTTTATTTTAACTAATTAATAAGAATTCAGTTTCAAGGGAGACTTTTATCTCGCAGCTGACGTCAGAGAGTTGTGAGACAAAACATATTCAAATCGCATTCGACAGTGGGCACAATTCTAATAGGAAGCTTTCAACACTGAAATAACTTAACAACACTGAAATCGGTTTACAGTTCAAAAAAGTGTTGTCTAAGGAGCACAATTTACTGAAGAAACCTAGAGAACTGTAAATATTTAATATAACTATTAACTAAACGAGATTTTCAGTTTTCTTTCTTAGCTCCCATCTAGGCATATCATAATATTCAGACATTTATCATAAAATTTTTTACCAATTTTAGTCAATAATTTATTGAAATATGCCAATAGCTTCGACGCTTAGCTGACTCATTCCATTTAGCTTTGCTTTGCTTTGCTCATGCACAAAGCAAATTAATTTTATGCTTGAGAAATGCCAGTTTTATGGCCATCTTCAAGACAAGTGTGACTCGAGAGGGCGGGCTAATGAAATAAGTCGTTGACTCATTGTAATGATCCAAAATTCAAAATACAAAAATACAAATACAGTTATAAGTATTTATTACCTGGCTAATGTGAAGTACCTGCTCTTATATTGTATTTTAATCTATTCGACGAATAATATATACTAACTGGAATTATAGCAGGTGACGTATTTATATCGCATTGAATAGAAGTTATAAAAACGCTTCTTAGAAAGCTTTTATTGAGTGCTCTAATTTGTTTTGACTTTGAGTTTTAACATATAGATGACTTTGCCCAAAAACTTGAGAAAGAACAAAGATTCTTTGTAAACAACTTTGTGAGGCATAAGCTGAAAGCAAATCAATGCTTATAAAGTCTACAGTTTTTGTAAGGCAGATTGGCTTTGTGTTATTACCTATTTGGGTAATAGATATTGAACTTGACGAGACAGTAGACTTGCTAAAAGTAATACTAATCCAAAGAGAAATAAAATAATCAAAGTAATGCATCAGGCAGAATGCTTATCATAATATATATTCGTATCATATTATCATAATATATATAATAATATGTTCGAATTCTAATAATAATAATACTAAATACAAAACTAAAACATATACCAATACTAATACAAATGCTAACACCAAGTTATACTAATGCTAATGCATTATTAGCATGATTGTACGAAAACTTAATGCTGATACTAATGATAGTACGATTATCTACATATGAAAACTATATGAAATCTAATAGTTCTCATACTAACAATAATATATTCTAATGTTATAATGATATACCAAATATTAGCGTTAAGGCTTGTACTAAAACAAAAATTAAAACCTATTGAAAATACTAATGCCAATGCTAATGCTAATGATAATGCTGATGCTAATGATAATGCTGATGCTAAGGCTAATACCAACACTAAAGCTAATTCGAATATTTAATGTTTATATTAATTTCATTACTAATACTTAAGCTAATGCTAATGCTAATGCTAATGCTAATGCTAATGATAATACTAATGCAAACACTAATTGAATGAAAACTGATATTGCTAATGATATTGACATGTCAATACTAATGTCAATAATATTGATATTAATAATAATAATATTATATTAATATCAATATCAATACTAATGCTAATACCAACACTAAGACTGATGCTAATGCTAATACTAATACTTCTACTAGTTAACTACAAATGAAGGCTACTATTATGAGGAATGCTAATACTAATAATTGTGCCTATGCTAATACTAATAATAATAAATATGACAACTTCATAATGCACTTACTAATGCCCATACTTATACCAAGATCTATAATATCAATTCCAACTTTAGTGCTAATATCCATACCCATTGCAATTATGCCCAAGTCAGTCTAGCTTTTGCTCCACAGTGCCACACAGTAGAGTGCATTACCGATCAGCTCGACGTACATCATAATTAGCACATGGCAGAGATAACACCACGAACAAATGTTCTGTGCAACTTGTCACCACCAAAGTGGCCCCCATCCCTCGCTGCCGCTTCCCATTGGTGCCGCCCCTGACTCTTGACCAGGTACGCATTACCGTTAACGGTAAAGACAGCAATTCAATTTGAATTATGACATTTCAATGTAAACCACATTACTGAAAGAAAATACAACTAAAGCAAAGTGCGCGCTATCTCGCTCTCTGTCCGTCTAACACTTTGGATGACAGTTGATACAATTTAATAAGAGTGAGAAAATCTAATTGAAAGAAAATTTGTTGTAGCAATTAATTTCGATTTCATTTTTGAGTTATTTTTCTCAATTTTTTTTTGCGGGTTGGCAAATTTGAAATCCAATTTCAAAACCAATTAAATGCCGACAATAAATCAACAAGTGCAACACTTGGGGACACCTCCTAACACGCCTGCCACACACTCACACACACACACACATATACACATTGGCCAAATTAGCCGCCGCGTGAATTAATTTTCAACATTTTTCTGTAGCCTACGCGGGGCGTTGCCCGTTTTCATTTTTGTTTTTATTTTTGTTTAGTTTTTGTTTTTGTTTTTGTGTGTTGTATGTTGACAATTTGTTTGGTTGCTGCCACAAATTGCGGCCGCCCCAAAAAGTCAACAACGCCTCAGGGTATCCCCATGTCAACTAACTGCTAACGGAACACCCCTCGCCAGCACCCCCCCCCCCCCCCTCTCACTTGTTGTAATTATCGCAATATTTGAGCAGCTGGCAAAAGCCTTGCCTAAATTGGAGCTCGATCGACTCGAACTGTGGGGTAAGCATTCAAATTTTCTATAATTGACCCCCCCGAGGCGTAACTCTCCCAGTCAACGAGTATTTCTGTTCTGCTCAGTTCTGCAGGTGGTGGACTTTGCGACTTATTGACATAGACCATATTTGGTCTTACGACACATTTCATTAGAACTGCCCACCGGCTGGCCACAGCTGCTAATCTTCCAAAAAAAGGGGAGATTTCCCAAGCAAATAAGTAAAATATCATAATAAGGCATTATTTGTTATTTGTATTTGCAGGGCAAAGAAGTAAATAAAGAAAATACCTAGAAGACATAACTTATATACAAAAGATGTATTTTAAAAGAATTTCTATGACGCCTCGAGGGAACTTAAGATACTACAAAGTAGTCAAAAACTAAAGAAAAAAATATAATTCAAGTTTGTTTAAGAAAACTTTGTTAAGATTTGATTTTTAACAAAATAAGAACTTATCTATAGAACTATATTGTGGTGCTTAAGATCCAATCAAATTGAACATTTGCAAGCTTTAACTCTTTAATAATAATAATATAATAAATAACATTGTAATAAATGTAATAAAAAACTTCTTTTAACAATCTAAACTCATCCTAATCTATCATTAAGCTTTTGTACAGCGCACAATTGACTTCCTTTAAAGTTTCTTCCAGCAAGCATTTACAACATTTTTATTGAGCTGAGCGCTGAGCTGGCCCCAGTCATCAGACTGACAATAATTCGCAACTACAATTAAAGAGCAATAAACGTAAACTTCAATTACAAATTAACCCCGTCTGATCGATAAAATGCGTGACAAGAGAGAAACAGAACTGGGCAGCTAGTAAAGTTCCAGAGATTCCTTACAGGGAAAATTCTTAACAACCTAACTCATAACTCAAGCGACGCTCCACGGCCAGCCAAAGCAAGCCAATTCGCAGGAGTCTCAATTTTTTTTGTATGGCAGGCACGCATTCGCGCATGCGTATCATATAATTCCAATCAATAATCAATCATAAATGCGGCAATGACAATAAAGCGTAAATCAAAGCGAGCCAGGTAGATCGAAAGAAATGCAGTAGCCAAAGTCAAAGCGAGGTAGCTGCAGCGAGGCAGAGCGAGAGGGAAGACAAAGTTATCGCAACGCTTCCGTTGCCATTGAAAAATGTCAAAAAGGGAGACGAGGATCTGCGCATGTGTGTGTGTATGTGCATGTGTGCATGTGTGGGGACATGTGTTTAAAAATAAACAAATAATGCAAGCGAACACAGCCCAATGATGATAAATTACAAGCCCAAAAGGCAGAGCAGAAGCAAAGTTTGATTTGGTTGGGAAAAGTCAAGAAGAAATTAAATAGTCGAGAAATCAATAAAACAAAAATAAATAAAAATAATAATTAAACACAAGTGTACTAAAGTAGTGTGAACGACTTGCAGATACCTCTTGGTACAATCCAAAAATCATTCAATAAAAAAGTAGGAAATCAAAAGAAAATGATAAAATCAATATTTAAACAAGAGCTCACAACTGGTTGACTAATAAAATTTACATATTTTAAGACAGTTTTTTGTATGCTTATAAAGTAAATGTGCTTTTTGCACTCGATGTCTTAAATATTTCAAAGCTACGCTCAATATGTTTTTTTTTAATGAATTTTAAGAGTCGGTATGTGAAAAACTATAAAAGCTTACATCGATATTGAACAAAATATTCATTATACATGAGAATTTGTAAGTGTTATAATTTCGATTACAGTTATAGCAAATTTCCTTTTTTTAGGTACATGGTACAGGGTACAG